TGCACCACACAGTAATTAGCAGAGCAATTAAATAAAATATGAACTGTATTAAATACCATCTCTAAGAAGACATTTCCCATCTCAAGTAGCCAACTAGTATGATCAGTTTTCACATCGAACTACAGTATTTCTGGAGCACAGATTAGCATCAGGATGGAATCAGTAATGCTATAATGATGAAGAGAGGCACAGAATCAGTCCTCCTTTATATACAAAGTATTATGCAAGGAATAAAAAAAGATGAAAAGTGTAAGCATATTTAATTGTTAAATTGAGTTAAAAGAGGTTAAATGGATTAAAGATAATTAACTACTTTTTTTTTTTCAGTTGACAAAGCATCAGATGTTATTTATTTTATCTGGAAACTGGAGACCAGTTGGTTGGACTAGTTGGTGAACTACTGAAAAAATAATTGTGAGAAAGTTAAAGTGCCCACTGGGAAAAGCATAGTTTAATTAGGCACATTCTGCACAGATCAGTCAGAGGAGGTCATACTTTACTGTCACGCAGCAGTACAGTGAAGATGTTATTGCCATGACTGATGAAAAGAATTCAGTAGATTTATGATACCCTGATTTGACAATGCCCTGCCCTCAGAAATTAATGTCTGTAGGACAGTGTTAGGACAGAGGGGGTAAATGAAACTTCTAGGTAAAATAAGATGTGGAAAAAATGCATTTGAAAGCCTGTTTTTTCAAGTTGTTTTGGGAGGAATTTTGTAGGTCTAAATCAACATCTAGTACACCTATATTATTTGGTTTGGGACAAGGATACTTATTTTTTCCTATGAAGTTGCAACTGAGTTTCAAGATCATCATATTATCTAGATGAATCAGTAGATGACAATCAAAGTTTAGTCTATGCAAAAGTAAACAGTATAAAGGATATGACATGCATACACCTTGCATAGTAATGCCATTCAGAAATAAGGGGGTGTGAAAAATCATTGAGCAGTGCCCTTCTGTGTATTGCTAAGGACAAGGCGGCAGTATCTCAGACTATCGAAACTATGAAACACAGTGCAAACATGGACTTGTTTCTGTTATTTAAGATGCTTAATAGGGGCCAGCTGGGCAACCACTTATCATGGGAAAATAATACTGTTTTGTCCCATGCCAAAACATGAGATCTTTACCAAGTCTTTTTGGAATGTCTGCCTGGAAGATAGAGCAGTGTAAAATTATTTTTCATAAATTCAGTCAGTGCCTCTTATGGAACAAAAACCTTCCTATACAAATATTAAGCTACCTGACACAAATGAGAAGGGCAGATCTAGTACAGAAGTTGTAAGAGTTTTTGGTATCACAGGGAAGGTGTCATCTTCTATGAAATGCACTAAATTTTCAGAGTACTTGCTGAAGAGCTCTATCAGATCCACATTAGAAGTTGTTTTATGATTTCACTGTAACTAAAACTTGTTAAATTTAAAAAAAAAAACCCTGGTTTTTCCTAGATGAAATTCAAGGCAGTATAAAGAAGTAATCAGAATTATGAAAAAGACTGTCAAAGACAAAGTCAAACTGGGTCAGAGAATCAGAAATTATGAGTACAAGAGATGAGCTGGGATAAGGGCTAACTAAAGGTTGGATAAAACATACATATCCACAGTGGTGGGACAGTATCTCAAGATTCTTAGAATCAATTAAAAAATTCATTTGTTTTTTCTGAACTTTTATTCCCCCTTGTTCTAGCCTGGAGGGAAGGTTTTTTCCTACCTTTGTATAAAGTGTTTTCTAGAAGGGAGACACTCTGCCTCATCTGGTTCATTTCTTAAAAGATGCTATGGTCCTTGGAGCATTCAGCCCCACTGTAGGTACTGTACACACAGAGGGATCCTTCTCCAGTGAACTCAAGACTCCAGACACTAACATGGTTTACTCCACAGCATGCAATGTGTAAACACTAGTCAGTACTCTGAACCCTATACATCTCTGAAAACTGAGATTTCCAGATGGCAAAGAATCTGATGTAACTTGGGTTAGTGAGACAGTGTTGTAGAAGCTAAAGGAACTAAAGCAAATGGAGTGACACCTCTAACCGATTATTTTTGAGCAATGGGAAGGGTGTAATTCAGGTATGGGCAAGCACTCCAGCTCATTAGCAGTTTAACCAAGCCATTTTTATGTAAAGGTTTTAAAACAGAACCAAGTTACCATGGAAACTGATTGAAGCAGAGACTTACTGTAAATTCTTTTCTATACAAGGATAACAGGACTGACAGGTGGGCTGTAAAAGGAAAATGAGTGTAATATAGAGTTCGGCATGATGGTCTGTTTTCTCTTCCTAGAAGTGTGTCTTTTATAGCTCTGCTTTATCTCTACTGTTTTCTACAGTAATATATTGAACATATTTTAAAAGACACTCCCACTCAAATGAACGTTTTATTTTGTCATAATCCTATTTGCAAGGGGATGTGCATGCTCTAGAGAAAAGAGCTGAAGGGCAGGACACTCCACTTATTTTCCAAAATTATTATGTCTTGCCAGAATCATCAGGGAGGAAGAGCCATCACTCAGGAAATGCATTTGCATAAAGTGCCCTTTGCTGCCGATGCTTATATTTTGCTCCTGAAATATGCTCTAGGTATGTTCACACTATAGCACAGCACTCTCCTTGTACAATATGAAAGAAGGTAACAAGAGTGGTTTTAGTGAAGAAATACCCCTTTTCACTTTCTCAAAAATTTTGAAAATTCACCTATTTGCTGCAATCCCATGCAAAGTCAAAATGATTCAGCTCTGTAAATATCTTTCTTAGTCTGATGGATGATGGTAAGAATAACAGAAATTAGAGTACACAGCCCCCAATATATGGTGCCAGAGTTTTAAGAAGGGAAGTTGGCAGAGAGTGAACAACAGCAGAGCATGTACCTTTTCCACTTAGACTAGTTATCTGTCAGCACTAGAAAACATTTCAGCATATGAATATGCAGTATCTTTTAAAATCTGTGCTGGATGTTTCTACCTGCTGTGCTTAATTTCAGAATCTTGTGTTATCATTAGAGAAAAATAATTCTCTTCTCCAATATCATTTTCTACCAAAAGAATGGCAGCAGAAGGAGGAGATCCTTACTTGAACTCATCCTGATACTCTTCTAGCCTGAAGTTTCTGCTTCTTGGTTCAAGTTCCCAGCTGGAGCTGTGTTTTTACATGCCCTCCTGACATAAGCCATAAAGCAATTTTCATCTGGATTTTAAGAGGTTTGCTGTCATCAACAGTCATAGTTAGTCCCAGTGCACTAGAATCACAATAGATAGTCACCTTTTCCAGCATGTTTGCCTTACAGCTAAAAGTAATGGCAACAGCTGGTTTTGTTGTCAAAAGTAAATATACTTCTCACCTTCAGCCTCTGCCTTCCTTGGCACTGTGGGGGTGGGGACATGACAGATGGTTCCTGCTAACTAATCACAGAAAACATGGTATTTGGTGTATAGCATGAATTTCCAGACAAATTAGAATGCTTCTCATGTAATATCCTCCCTATGAAAAGCTGGACACCTTAATAAAATGTGGCATGCTCTAAGGAAACACATATGACATGTTAAAAGTGTATGATGATGTGACTAATGGCAGAACTCTGTGGTAAATGATGCACAAACTAACTTAGTTGTCATAACTGAATTTTGATGACTGTGTTTGTTATATGTAAAAGCTATTTGACAGTGAGACAAAGGGAAACATGGAAGAAAATTCTGCTGGGTTTAGACTAAGTTCATCTTTGATTTAGGGCTCAGTCTCCACCATACTCTTTTTGTGTGTCTCTGAGCCACAGAAGGCTGCCGGTTCAGGCTCAGTGGCAGGCAGGCTTATGCAGAAGCTTGTGCAGCCCTTGAGACTGAACACTCAAGGGCTCCATGCATTAAAGAGTAGAACCATTTTTGTCATTTAAAGGAAGCCATTTTAAGTATTCCTGTGCTTTTTGTCTTCATTCTGACATAAATCATACTGCAAAAGGGCCAACAAATACAGCTGTTGTCCTTCTTAAGAAAATACATTCTCCATGAATGTAGAAATTATTTTAAAGATATGCTTTTAATTTTAGAAAAAATGTCCGTAGAGTCTACAGTTAATTTGATTAAAATTCCTTGGCACCATTATATGTTCCCAAATTGCAATTATTTTTCATACCTCTTTGTATGACAAAAATATGTAATTTCAAATAATCATGACCAAATTCCCATACAGGTATTTATAACTGTCTTGGACTTAATTACGTCAGAGGGTTAGAAATGAGAATGTTGGGAATAGCTAAATTCATAAAATAGGACAATACAATTTAATTTACAAACTCTTGCCTAAAGGCATGATTGCTCAAAAACAAAGGTGGAGAAAAGAGGCACAAGAGATGAAGCATTGTTAGGAATTGGGGAAAAGTCAGGAAATAAGATCTGGCTAAAAAACCCACCAAAGAGTGATAAAACAGAAAAGGAAACAGGCAAACCTCCTTTAAATTGCAATTTAGAAAACTGCCATTTACAATACAAGGGTAATTCTTGCAAGCCTCATCAGTATTCTGTGAAGATCACTGAACCCTGCAGAAGTGTCTCAGATAGGCACCTTGTTGTAAACTTCAGGATCAGGCCTAAAAGAAAATAGATACATGCTGCAACTAAACTAGTCTGTGGCGCTTCTAAATATGACTGGTCGCTCTGAAGGTGTTGCTTGGGCTTGCAAAGGACAACTTGCCAAATAGTAGTAGTTTCTGTTTCTCTTACACCCACATGTTTTGTGTTGTAAAACACTTAGATTATTTTTGTGTTTGTGTTGACACATTTATTTTTTTTTCAGAAAAAAAATAATTATGTAACTAGATTTTGTGTGTGGATTTAAGTGGTTAGCAGTATAAAAGTATGGCTGTATTCATATGTGCAAATTGATTACATCAGAACTTGACTTCAAGTCTCTCATTGTTCTATATCTCTTTTCATGGAAGACAGAAGAGTAATTTTAAAAAGTCTTTTGTTTACCCATATGTAACTCATGGATATTTGTCAATGCAGGTTTATCAATATACAGTCCACACTGGTTTCATATGTGACAAGGAGGCAAGCAAACAGTGGAGAATGGCCGTAGATATGATGCAGATAAGCAAGAAAGAAAAATTAAGGACAAAAAGACAGAGCAGTTTCTAAAAAATCAGGTAAGGAATTCAGGTGATTCTGTATGAAGTGTAAATGGTACAAAGAATTGTATCAAATAGTTTATGCTTATCTTGTAATTCCTAGTATTTCTGAGAATTACTGCTATATGGGTTTATGGACATACATACACACACACATATATATATACCCTACTTACACCCACTCATACAATGAGTTTCGGTTTTGAGCAAAATTGCCATTACCCTCAGTGCAGATATTTACTGGTATTTTATATTTCTTTTAATAAAATTAATTTTCTATATTTCATTTTATTTTGTTTAAATGGAACATTGTACTATTTCCTACAGAAAAACAAACAAGTCATATTTTCACAAAGGAGTAAAAGAGAGTTATGCTCTGTGTGTAACTGTTCTTTCTCAACCAATCAGTTCAAAGTTCTCAAACCTTACATTATTGTATCCTAGTACTGATCTCTCGGGGCATTTAATGTGCACTGCAGAAAAGCAACATGTGTTATGACCTACCTCTCCCTTCTTACACTGCAGGTGAGAACTTTATTTAGAGCCTGAGCACACTTCTATTTCCTAAGCCTGACTAGAGAGGAGTAAAAATATATTTACCAAAAAGCAAAGCTGGAGGAACAGTAAGCAACAATTCATCCTCTGCTCCTCTGCTCCCCTGATTGCGAGGAAAGTTGCTGTACCACTTGTAGTGACACAGTGGGAGCAGTAAATGTGGTGGTACAGCCTAAAACAAGCTGGGAAGCTAAGCGAACTACATGCTACATGATGCAGTTGTTCGTGACAGAAACATTTTCTTAACTTCTTAGACTTACTTTTAGAATAGACTGAAATAACATTTTTGCCACAAGCATAAGATGGAAACAAATACTCATAACTAAACATTACATATCCATCATTTGCCTCTCTATCTGCTTAATCCTTACCTCTCCCTTCTCACAAAACTAAAGCTAACGTGAGATGCTGGTATAGCAATACACATCAACTATTAAGAAATAGTTACTTACAGGGCTTCACATTCCTGAGTAACATCATCAGCTTATTGCATCCATTTAGTATATCCACAAAAGAGTTCCCTTTAGAGTCTAGCCTTGTAGAAGTGCTTTAACCCTTCTACAAAATGTCTGTGTTATGCTTATATTTAACTTTCACAGAACAGCACCTAATGCTTCCAGACAGCATGTTTCAGATGACTGACTATACCTATGGAAATTCAGTACTGAAATAACACATTCTATGAATTCCCAGGAGCTCTACAAACATTAAAAACAAGCAAACAAAAAACCCCAGTCAAGCTTCCCAAACTACATAAAACTCAGTATTACTGTTACATCATATCAATTATATGTTGCACAATTCGTGATAACACAATAGTTGTGTTCATGCTAACTTTTTGCGGTTTGGTAAGATTACCACACATTGAGACATTCTGCCTCTTCCTTTGTACATTGTTGATTCTTGCAAAATGACAGCTGCTGCATTTATGTTAAAAAAAGGCTCAGAGTATCAGCAAGGATGCCTCTAATAGGAGAAGCAGCATAATACATCTAGAGTTTCTCTAGGACATGCAATATTCATCAGTTACAAACTTGGGAATGTCATATTGTAAAAGCTACATGATAAAAGACGCTGTGTGGCGTTACAGCTGATTCCATTTGCCATATGGCATGTTATTATTTTGTATTACCTTGGGGAGTGCACTAAATGTGAAAGGAGAACAGAACCTCTCTCAAGGTATACAGAATAATAAGCACAAGTTGTATAGTTCTTAATTATAGCAATAAGGTCTGTAACTGAAATGGAGATGGAACTAAGTACAGGAGTCAAATGTACGCTATACTACTCTCCAGCTACTGAAAGGTAATAAACTCATATCAGGAATATGCAAACAGGAAGAAATTTCCAGCCACCATATGTAAAACCCTACAGACAGCCTCAAAGCAGGTTGACTCAAAAGTCAGCAAATGCTATGTGCAGTGCCACACACATTACCACAGTATGGTTTTACATCAAAAACACAGTTTTACATGATGTAGGCTGGAGAAAACATTAAATCAGTGATTTCTAAAAAGGAGAGTCCATATGCACAGCTATAATAAAATCAAATGAATCATTAGAACAATAAAGTGTGGGGGAGTATTTGCTAAAAACAATTTAAGTAAAAGAATCCAAAAATAATTGTGTCAATTTGATATCAGGAAAGTGAGCTGTTCATAGGGCCTGAGAAATCCCGAAACAAACATCTCCAAATTTTAAAAGGCTCTCCTTTTACAATATATCATAGTTCACAAGCAGATTGTTATTAACATGGCCAAAACTTCGCCAGTATTTCAGGAAAGCAGGTGCAATGAAAAAATTCTTTGTAATTTCTTGTGGCAGTATTTGCCTGAAAATTCAGTTCTTCTTATGCCAGTACATTGAGCTTCACCCCTCCCACCCTGCAGCGCCATCTTTGGAAGTGTGTTCTGACTCTGAAGCAAAATCCAGCCACGGTTAGATCATTCTTTGGGAGCTATTTTTCAGTCACCACTTAAATTTTAAATTACAACTTTTGTGATAACAAATAATGGAAATGTACAGGCTTGATGGTTTTTGGAACAGTTTGGTGCTAAACACCATAGTCCATTAGATAAGGCATTTCAAGATCTGTTACAGGAACAGATTATTTTAAAATTCATGTTAATTGTGCAATACTTAAGATTACATCTTCAGAACTATCATTTATTCAAGTGTTCAGTTTGAGCAGCCAAAAAGTAGAAGATCATTCCCTTTAGCCAGACCTTTAGCAGGAATAAATCAGAGAAATTCTAGCAACTCAGTATTTCCTAAAATGGGTTATGCATTTTGCTTTCCTGTTAGTTTTTACTAACTATTGGGAAGATAACTTCTTTTTTAAGTGAGCTAAGTGACTCAATGCCATTTAAAGATTACAGAACTTCACAGTAAAATGAATAGAGGATCATGGCTGTAAGCTTTGCCCTCCTTGCCATCACTACCAAAACCCACTGGGTACAGTTTACCTGTCTCAAGTTTGACACTGCACTGGTTTATATTTGTAAATGCATGCAGACCAGTGATGACAGGAAGGGCTGAACTGCAATTGCTGTGCAAATTACTGCATCCATTTCCATTTCTCAGCTAATGTTAACACAAACTCATGACACATTTTGCACTGTATTATCAGAATCTATGAAGTTTTTCACACATTTCAGTCTGAATGCTACTCATGCTTATTCCACAAATAATCTTCTTCTCCAGCCATAATAAAGGCTGATGCAAAAATGACTGATGTCACTAAATGTGGGTTATTATTCAGTGAGAGATCAGAGGGAGGAAGGGAGGGAGGGGAAAAGCCAGTTCTCACTATTGTAACTCAAAGGTGTTCTTCCCTTTTAAATTGGCAGGAAATTCAAATATGTGTTAAATGACAGCTCAAGTTTAAAGACTCCATGTTGTAAACGTACTTGCTGAATTAGCAAACATTTGTCTATTATTATTCAAACATTTGTCTATTATTATTTAAAGGAAAGCTATGCATTATTACAAGAGAGAATAATATTTGTATATTTTTCCTTTAAAGAATGCATTCAATTCCATACTTATGAAAGATAACTAGTGTCTGACAAAATTAGAGTTGACCTTACTCTAATAAATTGAGAATTTACAACTACACTTTAAATACTTTGATTTCTGTTATTCTGATAAACTTGAAAACAAGCATAAACGTATGCATTATTTCATGATAAATTTTCAGTGTAGCAGTTTTAAATTGGTAATGGAAAAAAAAAAACCTTTTTAAAGAAAACTTAATTTCTTCTGAAAAGATAAAAATGTTTACGTAAATATCACTATGAACATGGTAATTGTTGCTACTATTATTTTTTAATAAATTTACAACCTATTCAAGTTTATATTGAACAGCTCAGGAAAACATCAAGAAAATAATGAACTGAAGAGTTTAGGAGTTGAATTCAAGGAAAGAATCATGTTCCAAAGTTTTTTCATGACAAAGTTTTTTCTGCTAGTTCAATTGATCATGACAGCATTATAGGATAATATTGATTGTATTAGATGTATATACTTCGAAAGCCTTCAGTTAGTTTAAGAAAACGCAGATAGGCCAAAAATTTGCTATGCTTCAGAGGAAGAACATTCAATTACATTTAGCAGGAAAATCACAAGTATCTAACCACAGTTTTTAAGTAACCAAGGGGTGAATGGTGACAATATCTTAAGAGAATTTTAGAGGCGACAGAATCTTAAAGAGATGACCTATTGTGCATTATAAAACCATACTGCCAGCTATGCACACCAATTTTAGTGAAAATGCAGTAATTAAAAATTTAGAGCACTGATTATATAAACTAGAATAATAAAATTGTTAATATGGTCAACCTCTGACTTTCATTTCCAGAGGCACTAATATGCTCAATTTCATAAATACACCTCTACTTGTAAAATCAAGCAACTGCCCTGTGCTTTGGGAGGTGCCTAAGACCTAGCTAAATACAATTTCTGTATCTATTTTAGGGCTTCTTTTGATATGTATTCAACTATCAATTGTCATATGTTTCTTCCCAAAAGATATTCTGCTGGATATTTGCAGGATATTATGAACAGATGTTATTCCAGATCTGCTGATTCATGGTAGAGGATTTATATCTTTTGATGGATTATGAGAAGTGGATGAAACCATAAGTGAACAACACAATATAGTAAACAAAATATTTAGGATTTGACTTGTTTTTCTAAATGAATATTCACAGCAGATTATAGACCAGTGCTTCCATACTATTCTAAATCTAAGTCTTTTTATGATGTCAAAAGCTGACAGACTTTCAAGGTAAATCACTGATGAAATCTCACATCCTGATCACCCAGCATGATCTGTATTTGCTGTAGGCCAGAAGATACCTCAATATCATTTTGAGAGGAAGAACCACAATATGCCCTTAATGGTCCAATATTATTTTAATATCAGGAATTTTCAGGGGTATAGTAAGCAGATCCTGTTTTTC